CATCTCCCCCGTCCTTTGATTGATAGCCGGTCGAGTATCACGTCTACACCAGAGATGATGATGTGCAGGTTGACGAAATACCACACCAGCGTTTTGTATCCATGCTGAGATTTTCTCAGAAGTCAGTCCGTTGCGGCTGATGTCGTCAACACGCTCTACCACTTCACTTCTGTCTGTCTTTGAGCTAGGAATCAATGTAGTCCAGTTTTTGTAGCCAACATCTTACATTTAACAAGAGCAAGTCGTATTCTGCTCGACTATTTATTTTGTATACTATTTGATAAACGTGATTCTAAAATTCTTTAGGAAGGTGGTGGTTATCTTCTAGTTCCGGTTTTATTGTTTTTCATATTTTAAGCTTATCTTGTTGTTTTCCTTTCTCTCTTCAGCCAAAAAATTAACATTTCTCAATTTTTTTCCCGGGGATCTGTCTTATTATTCTCTTTTTCTTATTGTGAAAGCGAACTGGATCATTACAAAAACTTGGTTTTTTAATAATATATTAGGCAGCAGATCTTAAAGTTATCTAAATCTTTAGTCTTAATCCTTAGGCATATAAGTAAAAAAACAGAAGAATAAAAGAGATACCATTTGATGGTGTGTGTGTCGGTGTGCGCCTGCTTATTTCCGCATATTCATTTTTTTTCCTAGTGGTGTGTTTCATCAGTCTTCGTCCTGTTGGAATTTCCTGCGTTTCTTTTTCGCTTCACATTCGCCTTACTCGTATATTCATACACAATTTTGTGTATGAATATGGCGCGCTGGCACACAAATGCGCTGATAGATGATGGTTTATCCCCCCCACGGCCACCACCACCGCCACTGCTCGCCCTCCCCACCCTCTTTTTACATTTAGGTTTGCTTGTTTTAATCCTTTATGGTAAAGAGTCTAAAAGAAAGTTGGAAAAAAGCAACAAGAATAAGAAAAAAAGACTTATCGCATAACTTTTCACCGATCAATGTTAACTTGAACTTCTTTCTTTTTTCTCTCTCTTGCTTTTCTTTTCTGGCTCGTGGCCAAGTTAACTAAGTTAGCTGTCTGATAGTTTAGACAATATATTTTTCTATTCTCAATAAAGTCACTTTCTCTCTTTCCATCTCTCTGTATCTCGTTATCTTTCGTTATCTGTCTCTATCGCTTCGCCTTTTGCATGTGTGTGTATTTGCGTGTATTTTTATCCTTATTATTATTGCCATACGAAAATGTATTACGTGAAAACATGAGTTTTGTGATATATATATATATATATATATATATATATATGGAGAGAGAGCGTGGACTGTCTCATTGGTTCAACCCCTTAACTGTCAACCACCTACAGAAGTTTTGACAGACACTTAGTATCGTGAGCTTTACTTTCACTCAAGGAAGCGTTAGACTAGCACTTCGATATCTTTGAATATCCTGCTGTCCATATGTGACTATTTATGTCTTTGAAAAAACAGAGGTGATGAAAATTCCTGGGCAACACCACCAACAGCAACAACAACAACTGACAACAATCAGCATAAATGGGAGGAACCTGAAAGAAACAACCTCCTTCGCCTACCTACCTGGGAAGCGTCGTTTCAACTACAGGCGGAACTGACGAAAATATCAAAGCAGGGATCAGAAAAGCAAGACAAGCTTTCACTACTCTCAAGTCTGTGTGGAGGTTAACAACACTCAGCATCAAAAATAAGATCCGGATTTCCAACTCCAATGTGAAGTCAGTGCTACTATACAGATCAGAGACTTGACCAGCGCGTCATAAAGAGCATCTCAAACAAACTACAGACCTTCATTAACAGTTGTCTTCGCTCAATACTCAAGATCAGATGGCCAGCCAGAAAAGATCAGCAACAGGGATCTCTGGGAGTGAACCAACCCAGAACCGATTGTGAAACAAATAGACAGGAATAAATGGAGATAGATTGGCCATACTCTGAGGAAACAATCCATCAAGTGACATCACTAGACAAGCCATCGCTCTAGTGGAACCCGAAAGGGAAGCGGCGAGTTGGTCGTCAGTGTGAGGGTGACTTGGAGGAGGTCATGTGAAGAGGAGATGTAAACGTGTGGGCAGACTTGTAGCCAGGTGAAGACTCTAGCAGAGAACAGAACGCAATGGAGACACACGGCTGAAGCCCTATGTTCCTCTAGGAATTAAAGGATACAATAATAATAATAATAATAATAAATGTGGTTAACAGAGGTAATTCCGTCAGCTAGCTGGCAGCCAACATCGTGATAATGTGCCTAATCCATCGTCGTCTTCATTTTCGGTTAACCGAAAAAAAAAGAGAATAAGTTGAAGAGTGGTGAGTGAGGGAGGGTATAATCCCAATAAACTATATCACAGGTTCTCATCAGCTGCAAACTATCTGAAATTACAATGGTTATAAATAATAACATTTCATACTTCAATGTTTGAAAGGTAATAGTGAAAACACTATAAGATGAACGCATCCGGAATATAAGTATTACAATCTTTGGTTTAAGTTAGCATCAATTTATATACTACCAAACTATAAAAGAAAAAAGGGGGTGAGAGAAAACAGAAAAATCTAATAAACTGTGTTAGCTTGTACGTCTATGTAACAACTCAAGAAGGTTAAAGTTCATCAAATTGAAAACTTGCCTAGTGAGCTGAGCTCACTAGTATGTATGCCTAATCAGTGTAATGAAAGTAATACGGCTACCAAGGGAATGAGAGATTGAATACACTCTCTCTCTTTCTGTGTGCATAAGTTTGGTCTGTGATGTTTGATTGCAATTGCTTCAGCAAATCGTAGTAGATTCGCTGTCCTTTGTATGTTTAATATTTTAAAGGATTTGGAAATCTCTACAAGATGACTCGTATCCACAGGGTATCTGGTAATTGCACTTTAACCTTCTTGCGTTGCCATGTTGGCGTACAAGCTAACACTGTTTATTAGATTTTTCTGTTTTCTGTCTTCTCTCACCCCCTTTTTTTCTGTTATAGTTTGATAGTATATAAATTGATGGTAACTTAAACCAAAAATTGTGATATCTATATTCCGGATGCGTTCATCTTATACTGTTTTCATTATTACCTTTCAAACACTAAAGTATGAAATGTGATTACTTATAACCATTGTAATTTCAGATAGTTTGCAGCTGATGGGAACCTGTGAAATAGAATAACGACATCATTTTATACTGCAAATCTGGTCTTTCTTTCTCTATCGAAATTTATCAAGGGAACCAAATGTATGAAATAAACTATATCACAAAAATATATCCTGCGATATTACAGTGTTTCATTACAAATAAATAACCAGAGATTTTACGAAAAGGGATTATTTGCATACGTTATGAATCTTTGTATCCTCTTGTCTTCTTTTTTTTGCCCCTTTGCATTCCGAGGGGAATGTAAGGGCTCCAAGTCGTAAGGTTTGAAATTTCAGTGGTGGTGATGTTGTTCTCACTCCAGACCTATCCTGTTTCTCTGGTTTATTGATGGCCATAGTAAATTAGGTGGGGTTTAATTAGTGCGTCGGTCAGAAATCGAACCCGCTGACGCACGTACTCTATTGTGTTCAATATTGCCTGATTGCTGGTTGACAGTTTTGGCACATCTCCTTGACTTCAAACTCACTACGATCTATTTGGTATGATTGTCATTATTCCACTAAGTTCCAGGTGGTTTCAGCAGTGTTGAAAATCCGAATCTTGTTCTTTATGCTTAGTGCAGTAGATTTCCACACCGATTTCAGATGAATGAAGGTCTGTGTAATCTTCCTGATCCTGGTTTTGACATCATCCATGCAGCCAATACCTGAAACGATGCTATCTTGATTAATGAAAGATGTGATTTCTTCCAGATTTCTCCCGTTGATGGCAATTAATGCTTGTTGTTGTTAGTTAGGTACCTCTGTCTTCTCTGTTCACTTGAAGTCCTGTCTTCCCCACCTGCCTCTTCTGCCAGCTTGTTAGTTTTTGACTGTAGATTTTCTAGTCTGTGTGGCCTTGAACATAAACCATCCACAAAGATCAGATCTTCGTGAGTCTTCTTTTCGTTCCAGCGTAATCCTGTCTTCTTACTCCCCATGGTCTGTCACTTGATCTAGTCCACCACAGTCAACAAAACCATCCGTGGTAGTTGACAATGTTGTCTTACTCCCATCTTCACTTCGAAGTCTTATCTGAGACTGATAAAGGTTTGCGACACTGCACTCCGTAGTGTTGAAGAAATTTCCAAATCACTTGATGGTTAACGCTGTCGAAGGTACACTACATTATTTTGTTCATTTTTTTCTCTCAATAGAATCCCCAGTCTACAATATTTGTGTTTGAATTCCTGCGATATTATGAATCCTAATAAGGGTTTTCGATCTTTGTTATGATGACCTTGATACCCCTCTGATTCATATTATGCTCACTACTAAGTGTTTTTCTTAGTTTTGCATGAGTTCTAAGTGAATTTTTGAAACAGTTATTCAGTGTGCTAATGTTTCTATTGTCTGTTTTATTTCTTCATACAGACATTCAGATGTACCTTTCGGTTGACCGGGTAGAAGGAGTTTTAATCAGATGACTAATATCTCCAGTCGTAGCAGATATATCTATCTTTATAGGTAGTTAGGAATATGTTTCTCTTACTTTGGAATTACAGTAGACACATGGTGAGGATAAACTCATTGTGTTGAAAACATGATACACTCGTAGTTTCTTCACACACATATACACATAGATAGATATCTAGCTGTAAGTTTCAATCAGGAAATTAACAAGGAAAATGTGACATATTAGCTTGTAAAACAAACCGGCTTTGTATCACCTCATTTTGTGTCAAGTAATGGCAGGATTCGTTCGATTCCTATAATACTAATTCAATGTGTCGTCATTTGCCCTCTACAGTGTCGATCACTCATAATATTCCCGGTGATTATAAATTCATTTGCCTTTGATTTGTGTGATCTTGTTAGTCACAATTTCTCAGTAAAAATATTCGTCTTGAAAATAGTCATATGTATATATTTGTTTCCTTTTTTAGTGAATCAAGCAAGTCAAGAGTCTGAAAAAGTTGACGTTAATCGTTTACTTGAAGAGAAGGCCTCATCAGAAGCTCAGATCAACTTTTTAAATTCAATTATTGTCGATTTACATGCGAAGAATGCTGAATTAGAATCACGAGTGAGAGCAATGCTTGTTGGCGCAGATGAACATTTAGAGTAAGTTGTATTGCTCATTTTTTGTTGTTGTTGTTGTTGGGTTCTTTTTTAGCCTTTTCAGTTTATATTAAGTTCTTATTAACGTAACGTTGGATTCTGTTATGATGTAGTCTTTTGAACGCTGCAATTATAACTTTCTCAAGCCACTCTAGATGGTTCACTTATTCTTTGCATATATATATATATATATATTCCTATTATTTTCAAACCGTTTTAAAGGGGAGGGCGTAGGGTATTTCTTTTTTTTCTGTAGCCTCAGTTAATTAGCTTATTACACGGCAATCATTTAACATATTTCAGAAGTTTGATTGGAGGAAGGATTTCATCATGGGGTGACATCGGTTGGAGAACCGCTGGAAAACCTGCGAGTACTGGACGGTCGGCTGTTTCGCCTTAGTTTTTGGAACTCTTCATCAGTACTCACCCACTGAGATCCCAGTGGCACAATTGTCTACGAGCTTCCTGGAATTGTAACCGGGATGTCCTGGGTTTGAACCCCGGAGGGTGCGTACTGATGAAGAGTACCAGAAACTAGGACGAAACAGACGGCCGTCCAGTACTCCCACGTTTTCCAAGGGTCCTCTAACTGATGTCAGCTCATGATTTAATCCTTCATCCAATCAAACTAAATCCCTACAAAACCAATACTTGAAAATATTTCAAAAGTCTTTAGAGTATATTGATTATCAGTCAACGTTTTCAAAAATCCCTAGAACATATGCGCATATATGTCACATTCTGTAACTCTCATATTCTTTACTAGATATCCGCTTATTGCTACTTGATGTTCAGGAGCTTACTAGGTAGGTGTTATGTTATGACCGAAATTCAAGTATTTCGGTCTGAGCACAGGGAGCCAATCGATGCATTCCGCTTCTGCATAGCTTATCAAGCTTCCGCGATTAACCCACAGTTCAAAATTATTCTAACAACATCACAAGAACAGTTTGGTGTGATAGAATCTGTGGTAATATTCAACAATAATAACCTACGTCGAAAGTAAAAAAGAAAAACTACCTCAACAATGCTCTCTGGTAGCTATGCAGTCCAAAAGTTTCTCAGGTGCAAAATACGTACTTTGCAACAAAATTAGTCGACCAAAAATAATTATAAATTGCCTGAGAATCAGTGAAATTACTCCCAACATGATGGGATCACAAATCTTCCTCCAGGAATCAAATAGAACAAAACATCAGGTTTACAGGATTTCATCATGAGCTGACATCGGTTAGGGAACCATTGGAAAACCTGCAGGGAGTACTGGACGGCTGGCTGTTTCATCCTTGTTCTTGAGACTCCTCATCAGTACGCACCTACAGCTGGGGTTCGAACCCAGGGCCCTCTGATTACAAGGTGAGCTCGTAGACCATTAAGCCACTGGGACCCCTGTGGGTGCGTACTGATGAAGAGTCCCAAAAACTAGGACGAAACAGCCGTCCGTCCAGTGCTCCCTGGTAGGTTTTCCAATGCTTCTCTAACCGATGTCAGCTCATGATGAAATCCTGTAACCAATCAATCAAATCCCTACAATCCAATACTTAAACATCATGTTTCCCGCAGAAAGTCTAAGGTCAAGCAATCATTTCACAGAGTAACTTTGACTCCACTCAAGCAAGATCACAGCTGTGAAACAGCACATTATTACTAACACACCTACACAACAGCAAAGTGAAGCATTGAAAAATCAAACAAAGGCAAATAATAAGGATTTCAAGTCAAAGAAAGATATGCAAATGTTAGGACAATTATATACAGCTTAGGGGAAGCAAGGGCAGTAATTACAGAGGTAGTTTGAATATCCAAATAAGTACCAGTATTGTAAATAGGTATTTCATGAAGGGATTTTCAGGTTGATTATTCTGCTACAGTGTGTCTTAAATATTTTAGGTCTAAATTATTGAGATATGCTGTTAAGGTGATGATAAAGTATGAATGGTTTTCTTGCACCTGCACTTCCTGGTTGGGTCCTTGGGACGGTAAAAGCCAATGGCTGGAGACAATTGGTGATATAGCCCAAAGTGATCGTTCTCAATAGCTGGCGTAGATGCATCCACTCCTTGTTACTTATAATATACAATCAAACTATGCCGTTCTTCGACATTACTATTCTTTTTGCCTCATATCTCTGTTCACTGTCTCTATTTTCATTTCCTTTTACTTTCTTCTCTTGCTTTTTGTGCTACATGGAGGAAGTGTGGCGACTCGAACTGCTGCACATCGGTGCAAAGTTCTACATTGAAACCAGTCAGTCAGCACCTGCGATCGATTTTGAGCCGTATCATATAAAGGTGGTAGTTTGGCATGTGCAACACATATCTCAACCATCTCAATCATTGTAGCCTCACAATCGTATTGATTGTCTTGCCACCTCCCCCCTTACCTAATACTATCCTCCTAACCTCAATATTGCTCACTATATTATACCACTAAACAGCTAAGGTAGGACGCAAACATCCGTCGCCTTTTCATATCTTAAATGACCATGTCTCACAGCCATAAAGGAGGACGGAGTCAACTAGTGCTCAGTACACACTTTTTTGATCCACAGCCGGATATCACATCTACACCAGAGATGACCTAAGTTGGCGAATTCCCCTCGAGTTGGCTCCGCTAATTAATGCCTCTCAGTTTGATCACTTTCCTTTTTATATTTCGACCTAATTCTGCATATCATAAACATCGCACATTGAAGTAGATAATGACCAGACATTTGTAAAGTTTATCGTAGCCATTTCAGTTTGAAGAGTTTGCAGCTTTTACAAATCAGGTATAATCTGTTTTACTGAAGACGCTATAAAATATTTCACCCGACCAATAAATGACTCGATTCAGTGAAAACCGAATGATTCATTTCTTGATTTGTATCGACACTACCTAAAGCACAAAATCTATCCACCAATGATGGGATGGATCAAGAAATAGTATGAATAATTTATGAAGTCATTTTCTTTCGATCTGAGAATGCAATTCACGTTACTTCGGTTTGCGTGACGCTGTTGTTTTTTGACCCTGTATTAATTTTTTTCATCTACTGAATTCGGACACGGAATAAACGATGATGATGATTGTGACTTGGACCGCTGTGTGGGGACATATTAGCTCCAAATGTTAAGAACGTTTATGCCTGTTTGTTTATCTATTGTAATGTATACTTTTTATCTATTGCGAAGACTCTTTCACTGCGAACTAACTCCTTATTCCTTTAATATCTGTATTGTGAAAACTTTCTTGTGATCAATACTGCTATAACCTCGATAGGGGGTACATTTTATACCTAAAGAAGCTTGTATTTGATCGCTATTTAAGTACACTGTTCAGAGGTTGTCATCTTGACTGATTGGGGGGATCCAAGACGCATATTCGCCTTATTTAGGACTAGTCAGCTGGATGTACCTGAATTCCACTGATTGATAGTGTTTCTACTGAAAGTAAAAACCCCAGTATCCATCTTAACTTAGTAGCCCAATAGGTAACGCTTTAGATATGGTGGAGAAGACTTGTACCTCACAATTGAGTGATATTAGATATCGCGCTCAGAGAACACAACTAATCCTTGATAATACTATTTTCGAATCTCGTCATCACTTACCAGCCGAAGATGCTCATATAAGACGAAATGCACATCCTAGTTTCCATCAATAGCCATCATCAACTAAATTTCCTGCGATCAATAGATGCGTGTTGAGATTGCCTTACTGCGTCTTAACCTTTCTTAATAGTCACTCATATATATATATATATATATATATATATATATATTACATTCATGTTGGCACAGCTCCTTTTCGGCATTTTCTACCTTTTTTTTCCAATCTCTCTTCACTTCTCAGCTATATTTTATCAGTGAGTTTCTGGTGTGTCTAATTATCACTTAACTCTGGTAGACGTCTCTTTCTCGTCCTATCTTATCTGGTGAAGTTCCTGATGCGGATTGTGGGAGCCATTTGACGACTAACATCTAACGCACTTAACACTGCGTTTATCACATTATTCAACTCAGTGGGTCCTATGAAAAACTTGGTCTACTAATCTTGATCAAAGTGCTGAGTCGGTTACCTTCTGGCATGTGCAGTTATATCTTCTTCTTAGTGCCTGTGTTATACGCATGTCAGCTTAAAAAAATTCGTTAACGTTTCAGCGTTGAGTTGTGCGTGATTCTTAACTTTTAAGTTTATCAATATCCAATAAAACAATCTGTAGACCAAACTTTCCTGTTCATGAAGAGAAAACTATTCGTTTTTGCTATTCTTTACTTTCTAGCTGGTGTTCTCTGGTCGTTTATGAGCTTGTCAGTTATGCGAAGGTGTCAGCTGTCAGACTAGAAAATCATAAGAAAATGTGTGTTTGTAAAGGAGAATTGTTTGTTAATTCATATTTCGGCACATTAATTCAATATCGTTAAATACTGCTCGTGAGGTATTGTTAGTATTCCTTTGGGTTCCGGGTGGAACATACGGCTTCAACAGCACATTTCTATTTCATCCTCTTCTCTGAACTCATTTTTTATCTGGCTCTATGACTACCCCCAAGCTCTGGTTCCTTCCCCACACGATCTCCTTCTTGTCATCCTCAACTTGTCGCTAAGTTGTTGCTTCTCCTCTTCGGCCATTTAATCTTTAGTATTGTGAGAAGTTGCCTGTTGATAAAAGTCTGCAACAGGCTGTTAGAAATGCTTTTTTGTGATTCACCAATTGCCTGACCCATATAGAAGCACTGACTGACTTGACATTCGTAGAGAAGCTCTGAATCTTATTCCTTATGCTGAGTGCAGCAGATTTCCACAATGATTTCAGAACAATAAACCTCTGTCTTGGTTTTCTGATCCTGTCCGGCTTTGGCATCTTCATCCTCCATGACGTTTGTAGTTAAAGTTCGTGAGAGTAATCAATGCATAATTTACTTTTTTTTGGTTATGAAATGGGAATAGTTTTCAAGAATCTTCATGAATCATAATTTCAGCTGCTTTAACTACTATTTTCACTATATATTTTTTTTGGTGA